GTTTTCCACAGCAGTTGAAATATCTTACATTCCCACAATGTATGAGGGTTCAGATTTTTCCATATCCTTGTCAAGAATTATTTTCCTTTTTTTAATTATAGCCATCCTAGGTAGATATGAAGTGCTAGCTCATTGTGGTATTCATCTGTATTTCCCTAATGACTAAGGAGTTTCACTGGGAAAAACAAAAAGTTTCAGGTGCAAGTAGTGGTCATGGTCATACAACAATCTGAATGTATTTAAGGCTACTGAATTGTACACAAATGAATGGTTAAAATGATAAAGGTTATGTCATATACATTTTACCACAATTTTTAAAATGAAGAAAAATTAAACATTAAATGATTTTGTGAGGCAATAAAAATTTATTACAAGGAATCAGTGAAGAGAAAATATATCAGAAATTTCAACTAGAAAAATGATAAATTCCAAGAGGCTTGTAGTCACTCAAAGCACACAACTGTAATTCAAGTCAGCCATCACCTCAGGAGACAGAGGATCCACTGAGAGCTGGAAGTACTGAAGCTGCCACCACTGCTACTGCCGTGAAGCTGGCAAGAAATGCTGTAAAGCTCACGTCAGAAAACTGCTTAAAAGCACTAAGTTCTCACTCACAATCCTTGCCAACTAGTCAGAAAGAAAGTTTCCCTGTCCTCTGTGCCTCCCAAACTATGGACATAGGTATAGCAGTACCTAAGCGGCTGACTGATTTAGGAAATGTGCTAAAGTCATCATTCCTAAGATGCTAAAATAAGAAAAATGTGAAAATTGGAACACATTTTACAATCAATAGCATTCATGACTGATAGTGTTTTATATTAGAAATGCAAAATAAAAACTGGTTTATCTTAGAATCAATGAAATCTCAAATTTACTGAAAAATTTTAGCATTTTAACTGCTCCAAACAAAAAAAGTGTAGAACATATTCTCATATTATCTTTGACTAAAACTTTTTTTAATTTTAATTTTTTTTTTAATTTCAAATCCAGGCATCTAATCTATCCAGAATTTGTGAATACTGTGAAATGAAAGTCTAAATTAAACTTTCGCAATTTTTCCAGGACCTTTCTTTAAATTTATTTTCATCTAATTTGAAAGAAAAACAGAAGAGATTTGAGAGAGATCTTTTTTTTAAAAAAGAGGTTTATTTGAAAGGCAGAGTTAGAGAATCTTTCATCTCTTGGTTCACTCCCCAAATAGTCGCAATATCCAGGGTTGGGCCAGGCAGAAACCAGGAGCCAGAAGCTTCCTCTAGGTCTCCCATGTGGGTGCAGGACCCAAGCACTGGGCTGTCTTCTGCTGCTTTTCTCAGTCACATTAGCAGGCAGCTGCATCAGAAGTGGAGCAGCTGGGACTCGAACAGGTGCCCATATGGGATGTCAGCATCACAGGTAGCAGATTTAACCACTACAGCACAATGCTGGCACCAAGACCATTTATTCATTTATTTATTTTTAAAGATTTAGTTATTTAATTGAAAGGCAGAGTTACAGAACGGCACAGAGAGAAAGAGATCTTCCACCTGCAGGTTCATTCCGCAAATGGCCGCGACAGTGGAGCTGGGCCGCTCTGAAGCCACAAGCCAAGAGCTTCTCCCAGGTCTCCCACATGGGTGCAAGGGCCCAAGGAGATAGACCACTTTCCAATGCTTTCTCAGGCACACTGGCAGGGAGCTGGATCAGAAGTGCAGCAGCAGGGACTTGGACAGCTTTACCTGCTACAACACAGCACCAGCCACAGGACCATTTATTTATTTATTTATTTTTGACAGGCAGAGTTAGTGAGAGAGTCAGAAAGGTCTTCCTTTTCCATTGGTTCACCCCCCAAATGGCGGCTAAAGCTGGCGTGCTGCGCCAATCCAAAGCCAGGAGCCTGGTGCTTCCTCCTGGTGTCCCATGCAGTTGCAGGGCCCAAGCACCTGGGCCATCCTCCACTGCCTTCCTGGGCCACAGCAGAGAGCTGGACTGGTAGAGGAGCAACCGGGACAGAATCCGGCACCCCAACAGGGACTTAGAACCCGGCGTGCCGGCACCACAGGTGCAGGATCAGCCAAGTGAGCCGTGGCGCCAGCCCTATATATTCTTTTTTTTTTTTTTTTTTTTTTGACAGGCAGAGTGGACAGTGAGAGAGAGAGAAAGGTCTTCCTTTTGCCGTTGGTTCACTCTCCAATGGCCGCCACGGCTGGTGCGCAGCGGCCGGCGCACCGCGCTGATCTGAAGGCAGGAGCCAGGTGCTTCTCCTGGTCTCTCATGGGGTGCAGGGCCCAAGGACCTGGGCCATCCTCCACTGCCCTCCCGGGCCATAGCAGAGAGCTGGCCTGGAAGAGGGGCAGCCGGGACAGAATCTGGTGCCCCGACCGGGACTAGAACCTGGTGTGTGCCGGTGCCGCTAGGCAGAGTAGATTAGCCTGTTGAGCCGTGGCGCCGGCCTGGCCCTATTTATTCTTAGAGGCATTCTTTTTCACTAATATCCAGAATGTATCCATCACTTATCAGGTTGTCCTTATGAACAAGTTTTCTTCTATTCTGTTCCACTATTTTCAGACCACTCATGACAGTGTTTTAGTCCCCATATTTTGAATAAAAATTAGTAACGGATAAAGTAAATCCTCCCACCCTATTTTTTGTATCTTGGATATTTTAGGCCCATTATTGATCTCCCATAAAATTTTATGAAGAACTTTTAAGTTCCATTAATCCACAAAAACAAATATATAATCCATTTGGGAAGAATTTCTATACAATACTTAACAAACATATTTTACACTAATTATTAAGTTTTCTGTGTTTATTTCAGTAAGGTTTCTGGAAATCTTAAATGAATTTTACACTAACTGGGTGCATGATTTTGCTGCACACCACTATGAATGATACTAATTTACACTTTCATTCCTATTTGCTGCTAGTATACAAGTATGGTAGTAGAACTGATTTAGCTGTTTTTAACTTATTTGTAATTTTTTTTATTTCTTTAAGATTTATTTTTATTTGAAAGGCAGAGTGATAGAGAGAAAGGAAAGATATTACTATATTTTAGATTTCCTAAAAACAGACATGGGGCCAGTATTGTGACACAGCAGGTTAAGCTACTGCTTGCAATGCCAGCATCTGGTGTGAGCTGAGCACTGGTTCGCGTCTTGGCTGCTACACTTTGTTATTTTTAAAGATTTACTTCAGAGGCAGAATTACAGACAGAGAGAGGGAAAGACAGAGAAGGTCTTCTATCCACTGGTTCACTCCCCAAATGGCTGTAACAACTGTGGCTGGGCCAGGCCAAAGCCAGTCTCCTATCTGGGTGGCAGAGAGAACTACTGGAGTCACACCACCTGCTGCCTCCCAGGCTGCTTATCAGCAGTTAGCTGGGATAGGGTGGGAGCCAGGGCACTCCACTATGGGATGCAGGCATCTCGAGTGGCATCTTAACTGTGATGCCCTATGTCTACCCCTAGATCCCGATGAAGGGACTCTCCTGACTGCCAATAAAGCCTTCTGCCTTAATATCTAATTTGTATGATATCAACATAACTATCAAATTTATTAGTATAAGCATGTTGTATCACTGCAATGATTAGTTGCGAAATCTTTTATCATTGGTTTTCAGATAAATGTATTATAAATTTAATTTAACTGAATTTCTAAAAAAGACCAATCTAACATTCTCTGGCTTTTAACCGAATAACTTAACCCATTTTGTATTTCATATAAATGGTGATATGTTTAGATTTAAGTCTAGGGTCCAGTGCTGTGGCATAGTGGGTAAAGCCACTGCCTGCAGTGACAGCATCCTGTATGAGTGCAAGTTCAAGTCCCGGCTCCTCCACTTCCGATCTAGCTCTCTGCTTGGCCTGGAAAAGCAGTTGAGGATGGCCCAAGACCTTGGGCACCTGTATCCACATGGGAGACTCGGAAAAAGCTCCTGCCTTTGGTTTGTTATTTGTTCCACCTATTGTTTCTTTACTTTCTTCACTGGAGATTAATTTTTATTGCTCTTTTATTCTCCTTTGCTAGTTTAGAAGTCACTTCTATATTTTTAGCAGTTAGCCTAAAAACTAAAACATGTAATTTATCAGTCAAGTCTATTAATGCCTGTTATCTTTCTACTAGATCATCTAAGGGCTTCAGAACACTGTCTTCATTTGTCATACATTTTAATTAAAGCCTTACTCAGGTTTAATACAGCCATTTCACCTTGCACTTCACACCTTTATCTGGACCCTTTCTGCCTAAAGTATAAACTACATAATTTCCTTCAGAAAGAGTCAATGAAGTTTGTTCAAACAGACTTTTATTTCACTCTCATCCTTGAGGGATGTTTTTGCTAAGCATTCATCCTAGATTGCCAGGTATTTGAGAATATACATGCTTTTCCATTCACAGTTGCTCTGTTGAAGAACATTTTTTTTGGGGGGGGGGGGGATCCTCTGGCTGCTTTTAAAATCTTTGTCCTTGCATCTAGGGTTATTAAATTGCACTACGATTTGTCTGGGTACAGATTTCATTTATACTGGTAGAAATTAATTACACTTAAGGCCGGCGCTGTGGCTCACTTGGCTAATCCTCCGCCTGCGGCGCCAGCACCCCAGGTTTTAGTCTCAGCTGGGGCGCCAGTTCTGTCCCGGTTGCTCCTCTTCCAGTCCAGCTCTCTGCTGTGGCCCGGGAGGGCAATGATGGCCCAAGTCCTTGGGCCCTGCACCCGCATGGGAGACCAGGAGGAAGTACCTAGCTCCTGGCTTCGCATCGGCACAAAGTGCTGGCTGTGGCAGCCATTAGGGGAGTGAATCAACGGAAGGAAGACCTTTCTCTCTGTCTCTCTCTAACTCTGCCTGCCAAAAAAAAAAAAAAATTAAAAAAAAAATTAATTATACTTAGTTCCATCAACTGGTTTCTCATCAGATCAGGAAATTTTCACCCAGAAACCTCTTTTCAAATATTAGCTCTGCATTATTCACTCTCTCCTCTATTTCCTGAGCTCTGATTAAGTACATTCAATCTCACTTTACCTTCCACATCTCTTAACCTCTCTTCAGTATTTTCCATCTTTCACTCTTCTGGAAAGTTTCTTCTGGCTCATCTTCCGGGTAATCAATTCTTTCTTGAGACAGATGTAATCTACTAAATCTGTCTCACAGGTATATTTGGTGAACAGCAGTTGTCATTTCCAGAGTTTCTATCTGGTTATTTTCTAATCTATTAAGTCCCTTTACATAGTGTCTTGTTCGCTGCTTGACCTCAGGTTTGTCTTCACTTCTGTAAAAAGTAATCGTTTTAAATCCATTTGATGCCACAATTTCTTTTTTTAAAATTTTACTTAAGCTACACAAGTTTCATATATTTCATACATACAGATTTAGAAACATAGTGGGATTTCCTCCCCACTTCACTCCCACTCCAACCCTTCTTCCCCTCCCTCTCATATTCCCACTCTAACCTTTGCCATGATCAATTTCCAGTATACTTAATGATCATAAAGTTAACCCTACTTTAAGTAATGGAGCTCAACAAACAGTATGAAGAAAAGGAAGCAAAACAGAACAAAACAAAACACAATGGAAGAGACAAGGGCTATAACAACCATTGAATCTTAAGATGTCTCTTTCAGCCCAATACATTGCATTTCAGGTATTCTATTAGTTCCACTGATCGGGGGAAACATGATATCTGTCTTTTTGGGGTTGGCTTATTTCACTAAGTATAACAGATTCCTGTTGTGAAAGACAGTATTTTTTTTTTTTTCCCAGCTGAGTGGTACTCTATGGTGTATATATACCAAAACTTCTTTATCAACAGTTAATAGACATCTGGATTGGTTCCGTATCTTTGCTATTGTGACTCATGCTTCAATGAACATGGGGGTACAGATGACTCTTCATATGCTGATTTCTTTTGGTTTGGATAAATTCCCAGGAGTGGGATGGCTGGATCATATGTTGGTCTATATGCAGATTTCTAAGGTCTGACACCACAATTTCCGAGGATTCTGTGGATCTATTTCTGCTCTCTGCTGTTTCTTATACACAATGTCATTTAAATACATTGCCTGGTTATTATCTTTTCCTTTTTGAAAAACTTTGATGTATATGTACATGAAGAAAAACTATTGAAATCTTAATTATATTGCTCAAAGAATTATAAATGCAAAGGAACTTCAAAAAGTTTGTGAAAAATGGAATTGAAGGGTAAAAAAATTAACTATTTCTCAATATGAGCTCCACCAAGTATAAGATACTTTTATAAGCAATTTACCAATCATTCAGTCCAGCCCTAAAAGAACTAAGGCTTGTGGGAATTCAATCATGTAAATGCAATCTTTTTTACATTACTATAAGAAAAACGGATGCCCTTTTTACGTTTTGTTTTTATTATTAAAACAAGACTTCAGAAGAAGCCAAATCAGGACTCTAAGGGGGATGCCTAATGATTTCCCATCGACACTCTCGGGAAACTGCTCTTGTCTGCTGAGAGGAATGAGTGAGAGCATTGCTGCGGCAGACTCTTCAGGTAACGCTTTCTCAGGCATTTTTCTATCAAGGCTCTGGTGTACTTTCTCAAAGCACTCTCCTCACAAGCAGGTATTATCATTCTGCGTCCTCCAGAAAGTCAACAAACAAAATGTACTAAGCATCAAAGAAACTGAAGCCAGGATCTTTTATCTTGACCAGCCTCGGCTGCTTTGTCAGGCCCACTTTCACTTTTTGCTAGTCATCACTTGGGTTATGCTTTATCTTCAGGTCTGCACTGGTGAAGCCATATTTTGCCTCTCCTGTTCCAGTTTTCTGAAGAAATGCTTTAGGATTTTTTTTTTTTTTTGACAGGCAGAGTGGACAGTGAGAGAGAGAGAGAGAAAGGTCTTCCTTTGCCGTTGGTTCACCCTCCAATGGCCGCCGCAGCCGGCACGCTGCGGCCGGCGCACCACGCTGATCCGATGGCAGGAGCCAGGAGCCAGGTGCTTCTCCTGGTCTCCCATGGGGTGCAGGGTCCAAGCACCTGGGCCATCCTCCACTGCACTCCCTGGCCACAGCAGAGAGCTGGCCTGGAAGAGGGGCAACCGGGACAGAATCCGGCGCCCCGACCGGGACTAGAACCCGGTGTGTCGGCGCCGCTAGGCGGAGGATTAGCCTAGTGAGCCGCGGCGCCGGCCTATGCTTTAGGATCTTGATGACAGTTCATTTAAATTTTTTTTAAGGATTTTATTTATTTGAAAGACAGAGTTACAGACAGTGAGAGAGGTCTTCCATCCGATGATTCACTGCCCAAATGGCCGCAATGGCCAGAGCTGGTCAGTCCAAATCCAGGGGCCAGGAGATTCTTCCAGGTCTCCCATGTGGGTGCAGGGGCCCAAGCACTTGGGCCATCTTCCACTGCTTTCCCAGGCCATAGCAAAGAGCTAGATTGGAAGAGGAGCAGCCAGGACTAGAACCGGCGCCCATATGGGATGCTGGCGCCGCAGGCAGAGTATTAATCTGCACCACAGTGCCGGCTCCAGTTCATTTAAATTTAATTGAAACCTCTGCTCTGTCTGCTGCCATTCTAGGTGCAAGTTTTGATACTCACTGAGCACAATTTGCTCCATTTAAATTTTTTATTCAGAACTGTGTAAAGCTGAACAGAGACATCTATGGTATTGGCTGTTGTTTCTATTATTAAAAGCCAATGTTTCTCAGTTGGGCACAAATAAGATTAAATTTTTAATTCACAAACTGATGTGGATGGTCTGCTACAGCAAAGTTTCATCTTCAACATCATCTCTTCCCTTCTTAAAGCAAGTTATTCATCTGTAAACTATTGATTTCTATGTGGTACTTACTTCATACAATTTTGTGAAGTACTAATGATTTTACCACTTTTATACCCAGACTTCACGGTATCTGAAGTTTGTTCTTGCTTCATTGCTAGCAGAATTCATGTCACTTTGTTTTATCCTTTAAACTGGATGCTATTCAGACATGTGCTAACAAGTTAATCTAAGTTTATTCTGGTACCAAAAACTTTTAGGGGATGGACATTATGGCACAGTGCCACCACTTAGAATGCCTGCATCCATACCAGGAAACTGGCTAGAGACGTGGTTACTTCACTTCCAAGCAAACTTTCTGCAAATATAACTGGGAATGCAGTGGCCCAAATCCTAGCGTCCCTGTTATCAACCTGGAGACCTGGATGGAGAGGCTCCTGGCTTCAGCCCAGCCCAGGCCCAGCTGTTGCCAGCATCTGGGAAGTGAACCAACAAATGGAAATATCTCTCCCTCTTTCTCTGCCTTTGAGATTCATACGCAGCATTTTCACAATGTGTTTTCCATGAAATTTTTGAATACTCCAAGTGTATATGATGATTACATATCTCACATGTAATTTTGCTTATTATTATTGTTGGGTTACTTTTGACAACATACTGTTCACTGTCTCTGAATTATGACAGCAAGTTCCTTAGAAGGAAGGCTATTTCTCCACACACGATTTGCCTTCAGACCTTTGGAAATGCTACTAGTCTGATACCAGGAACCATGATAAATGGCCTACAAGTCCCCAGACCATTCAGACAGAACAAACCTAAGCTACAACTCCATGTAAGAGTTAAAACTGTGGTCACAGTGTGCAAACATTGTTTTTCTTAATTTCCTTCTTTCCTTCCTGCTCTACTCACCCTTTCCTACAATCCCCTCGACACGAAAGCTGTTAGACAGTCAGATGTTACTCTCTTGTCCTATTGATAGAGGCCCTGGAGTCCCATTCACAAGTGTGGTTGTTATCCTGTTTGACTCTTAACCGTACTTTAGATGAACTCCAGGCTTGACTGTCCTCTTCATCCCAACAAGTCCACCAAAACCAAAATTCACGTTTGTGAAGACTGGCGAAAGCCTTTAGGGTAGAAGCTACCACCTCATGCTCTACTTCTTTCTTTGAGGTTCTGCTTTTTCCTGGAATTTTGTCAAGCAGCTCTCTATTATCTTTTCAGCTTTTTTTTTTTTTTTTAAGATTCATTTATTTATTTGAAAGCCAGAGTTAAAAAGAGAGAGGAGAGGCAGAGAGAGGGAGAGAGAGAGGGAGGTCTTCCATCTGATGGTTCTCTCCCCAGGTGGCCGCAATGGCCAGAGCTGCACCGATCCGAAGTCAGGAGCCAGGAGCTCCTTCCAGAGGACTTGGGCCATCCTCCACTGCTTTCCCAGGCCAAAGCAGAGAGCTGGATCGAATTGGAGCAGCCGGGTCTCAAATCAGCACCCATATGGGATGCCGGCACTTCAGGCCAGGGCATTAACCTGCTGCACCACAGCACAGCTTTTTAAGTCATTTAATTCGTTTTACAAATGGGATGTTTCCAAGAGTTTTAGTTTTCATCAAATGGTTTCACCTGAATAACCAGTATACCAATTCTTAAAATGGGTATCAGTTTCTCCTCTTTGTAACAACTATTTTGTAATACTCCCTGTGTTGTCTTGCACTATCTTGTACTATCAAAGATAACCTGCCTAAGCGCAACTTTAAAAGCCAATATAATACCCTATACTATACAGTATAGTCAATCATGAGACTTTTTTTATTTCCAAAAGTGTATGCAGTTATTACAATAAGCATCACCTGTGCTACATAATCACTGTGATGACAGTTACAACTGTAGACTGAAGGGAAAAGTATTTAAGTCACAAATACAAGTAGTGCTGTCATAAATTATGTGATTTTTCTAAATAAAGAACTCAATAAAATTCCAAATAAGAGAAAAATTTTTATAAAGGAAAAAGGCAACAATAAAGTACAAATATAAATTGTCCTATTTTTCCAATAAATATGAATCCCTTCAAATTACAGATACTAAAAGTAGCTTACACATAGATATTCTTAAAGCTCGGATCCTTATGATCACTTTTCTCCCTCAGACCATCAAAGTCCACCATGGGATTACAAGTCATGTGATCATCTGGAACAATTCTTAAATGTGCGCTGTCCTGACCCTTACAGGATGACTGACTTCTCTGGTCCATGCTCATTAAAGGTAACAGGGCTCCCCTCTGCCAGCTCCCTGCTAATGAGCCTGAGAAAGCAGAGGACAGTCCAAGCACTTGTGCCCTGCCCCCACAGGACAGACCTGGATGGGTTTCAAGATTCTAGTTTTGGCCTGACCTAGAGCTGGGGGTCATGGCCATTTGAGAAGTGAACTAACAAATGGAAAATCAGTCGATCAATTTCTCTCACTCTTCCCCCCAACCCCTCTCCAGCCCTCCTTTTTTTTCTCTTACTTTCCCTCT